TATATATATATATATATATATATATATATATATATACTTAAAGGTACATATAATATGCTATAAAGTCCACTATATAGTCCCTGCTCTATATAGTGATTGAGGTCTGACACAGCTAGGGGCAGATTCTCCAGTTAAACAATATGTCTTTTGATGATAATGATAATTTCATTTGTTTAATGTTGAGTAAAGACAAAGTTAATAAGATGGATCGCATGGTATGCTATGCACTGTAACATGCATGAGTTATTGTTAAGAGAGCTAAAACGAGTTTTATTTCACTAAGGTTTTAAACACTCATATAACATTAACATCCTTGTGTTTTCTCATATGGTCATTACATTTTTATTACCAAATTATGACCAAAAGTCAATAAATAAGATTTAAAAAATCATGGGAAGCAGAGAACTTGGTAAGTGATCTCCAACCTTTTTGCATTTCTCCTGCAGCCTCTCCTCCTCCTACATACATACAGTACATGCCGATACATGATTACCTGCCTGAATAACTGCCTGAATGACAGAGCAACTACTAGTTTTGTTTAATGCATATTTTCATCAATTCAATATTGTAGTAGGTTTTTATACAAAATTAAAAGCATAACTTAGAATTTATCCATGCAGGCAAATCTGCTTTTCATTTGACAATCTGAACTGTTTTTTGTATGTTCTCCTGGAAATGTTCCTCTGATGCTGAATCATGTTGAATAAAGATCAGCTCTTCACAGCTGACAGGTTCTATGTTCTTAATAGATATCTAAAAGTGCAAAACTGCAAATTCCTTTGGAAAGAGGTACATAAAGAAATATCCATGGAGCTGACAGATCTGTAATCTGTACTGTTTCATGTATCTTTTTCTGACTCTATGCCTTAGTTTTGTTTAAAACAACTGATTAAGCAAGTTTCAACTGTTTGTTGGTAACTTTGGAAAAAGAAGTTGTACAGAGCAAGGATATTGAGAAAGGATAAGAGTGTTGAACATTAATTTTCATTTGCTTTTTGATTATTCTGTCCACAGTTTACACACAGCCATCTGGGAATGAAATCAGCCGGATTTCTTCATTCACTCAGCTAAAACTGTAATGCTAAAAGGTGGAATTTCTGGAGATTTAAAACATTATAGTATAAATTACCAATGAATCAAACAGAAAAAAAGAATTCATAAATAATTTTACCATTAATCAGTCAACTGCAAAAATTTTTTGATAACACATGTCTTACAATTTTGTTGTTTTATTTTCTAATTATCTTTTAGCCGATGTTTGTCCAAAAAGTTTGAGTCACAGTAGAAGTTTTTTCTTTAAAAAAAGAAATGTTTTTATCAGTTTGACTGAAGAAAATGAGTGCAGGAAAACCAGTGGCACAGAAGTGGACAAAAGACTGTATGAGAGCAAATGTACTCACCATCCTCCCGAGACTTCTGAATGAAAGCATCAACGCCGCTCTCTCCGTAGTTTCCCTCTGAGGCCACAGTAGAGACATAGTTCCAGCGCATGGACTTAACGATGTCCACCATGGCCTGGGCCTGATATGTGTCTGGAGGCACCACACGGGAAAAGAAGTCGTAGCGGGTGTTGTCACTCAGCTCCGGAGCTGTAGAGGCATAGCTCACCTGTGGTATCTACACAGATACACAGATACATTGATGACATTAGAAGCAGAAAGTGGTTTTCATTGGGGTTTGTGAAAGGATAATGCAGTACAGGCAAAAGACAGTGTTGACGTGTTAACAAAGAGGCGGTCAGCAAAGAACTTTGTTTTAGTTTTTACAAAAGATACATGTGCCATGATGAAAATTTTAAGTGTAAAAAGTGTCAAATGAAATAAAGTAAAACATAAGAAAATAAATATGAGCTAAAACCTCTGTAGCTAATGGTGATTTAACAAGAGTAAGAGAAGATCAGTAAACATCTTAAGATCCCCAAATTCTCACCGTCAGATATGTGGATTGTGTTGTAATGAAAAGAACATTGAATCTAAACAAGCAATCCAACAATAGAGCATGAGAGTAAGTTTCTATGATTTTCTGAGATAGATCTGATCTGAAAACAGTCAACCGTTTGAGATATCCAGCACTTCACAAACTGAGATTATGAGCATGTCACCCATCTGAGTCAGGGTCACTTCCTCGATATAATTAGACCTCAAGGAGTGAAAAACAATCACTTTAATGCATGTTTCGTACTCAACAAAATCTGTTTACTCAACTGTGTCTTCTTTCCCAGGAAAATGGATTATTATCGAAGGTTTTCTCACACTTAGATAGCTGTGGGTACAGATGTTTGTATTTTGCAGTTTTGTTTGTAAAGATTCCTTTGATCCCCAGAAAAAAAAGCAAAATATTTCATGAAACACTCAGTAGCATAATATGTAGGTCATCCAAATCCCAAAGCTTCGTTGAGATAATTTCAGTTGCAGTGTTTGTTATTGTGCTTCTCATCACATGGGTGACTTCACCTTCACTGTTTTTCTAATGGATAAAACTGTTTTTGTAAATTATATTTTCATCCACATGGATTGCTGAGAACAACAGAGAGAGGAGGCAGTAAGGCTTCCTGGTAATGACTCAGAGCATGTCTCTTTGATAACAACTGGCCATGTTTTTTGTGTGTCATAACAAAACCAGGCAAAGGTGCATTCTGTGAAACGTAATTTTACTGAAAACAGCCCTGCTTTCTCCTAAGATGTGTCTTTATCACGTGTAGCATTTTATTACTATAAACAGCAGATCTGAATGCAGGGACACATTCAAACAGATAACCTTTGATTAGAAACATCTCTCTTAAGGGCTATATGTCCAAACCTTTCCCAATATAATGTACAAAATGCCCAACTTAGTCAAAAATAAAACAGGCTGATTTAAATGACCTGGAATACTTTTTGTCAGCAACATATTTCTTTGAGAAATTTGTTGACCTTTCAAAAAGGGTAGGCAAAAATTTTTTCAAAATCTGACCAAAGGCAATGTGCTGCAAAGCACATTTTCAAAGCGAACAATATGAAAGAAGAACAACCCTAAATTAATCAAATAAAATTTTCAAAGTGCTACTAAAGCTGAACGCACATTTAAGAAATTATTCAGTCTTCTGTCTTTCTAATAGAGTTCCTTAAGAAATCAGACACACAAGTTCCCTTTTTTTCCTTGTTGCCGCCTCAGTATGAAAACTAGATGTAAATGTTTATGTGAAAAACTTAGACAGACAGACAGACATATTTGTAATTTGTAACTAAATTTAATTTGGCAGCAGTTTGATTACTGTAAAAAAAAAAATCAAAAAAGAGTATCTTATTCTTTAGGTATCCTAAGTCATAATGACCACATGATATGCAACCTTTTTTTGGCATCTACTTAATCCTATTTAGCTACTTTTACACAATTGTTTTATGTCCTACCATGCTAACATATAATTAAATTTACCAAATAAGTAAGTAAGTGCATTTTTTATTTTTTATTTTTTTTGTTTACTACAACTTCTGCATAACAGAAAATTTGTATGAGTTTACTGGTAAGAAGGTGTCATCGGGGGTATTTTTAAGAGAACCACTCTGCCAGCATCAGGTGTTCAAGTTCTAAGAGCAGGGCAAGAGTTGCCTAACTCATAATTTCACGTGTCTCTCATTTAAAGTTGACAACATACTGGTTGTAATTTTTTTTTTCATTCTATTTTTATGTAAAGAAATTCTATGGATTATAGAAGAAAGCCCTAATTGTGAAAGTGCCCACATAAAAAAAACAGTAAAAAAAGGTGTAAGGTGGTAGATACTAGTAAAAGGCCATTATTTTTTGTCCTGTTCCTCTCTTTTCATAAAAATAAAAAAAGACGTTCTGTTTCTGATCTATGAAAATAATTATTGTGATACTTTCCTGAGATGGATACATGTAATGTGCAAGAATCAGTCTCTTTTTTTTTTTCAAATAAATTTCTAGGTCTGCTTTTATTTACAATAACCTCTCTGTTCTCTACTTTCAAAGAATAAGCGATTCATATAGAATATAAATCATATAGTTAACATCAGAAATGGAAATAGAAATATTGGGTGTAAAAAGCAATTTTTTTGGTATGCAATTCAAATTAAAAAACATTAAAGAATGTTAATGTTTGAATTGAAATTAATTTAATTGAACTATCAACAACAAAGCAAAAAAAACATACCAGAAAGGCTTGATGTAAGATTTTCTCAGCTTTGACATCCAACATGTGCTCAGCTAAGAACTCAGCACTGCAAAGATATTTAATTGTTGTGACTATTATCAGGTACAGTGTGGGGGCAACGAAAGCAGATTTCTCTCACGCTGCGTCAGGCTGACAACCTGTCAGCTGCTGTGAAGATGACAAGTAAATTCTTATAAGCAAAAATCTCCAAATTATTCCTCTTGACAAGAGGATTTCAGGATTCCCCTGTATTAACAAGATTTTGTGCTGTTCCCAATTGGCATCACAGCTTATAGGAGCAATGAAGAAACAAATATGTGACAGCATATGTTAATTCATATTTGTAAAATATGTATTTCATCGACATATTTTGTTGAATATAACGGGGAACCTCAGCATCGCTTACATGTATTTAGATTCCATGTTGGTCCTTTAGAATTTTATGTATTTAAAAAAAAAACATATATATATATATATATATATATATATATATATATATATATATATATATATATATATATATACACACACACACATATATAGGAACAACTTCATGATGTTGATTTCCATTGTGAACATCAGACAATTTTATTTGTTTACTCCTAAGTCATCAACATGGATCTGGCCTCTTGAGAGACCCAAAAATATTAACTGCAACCTAAAGCTTTATAGCTATGCATTAATATAATTACCAGTGTCACTAGCAGTATAGAATTTGTGAGACTGCTTTCCCCATAAACATGTCTAATCCCCTTTGACTTTCCCAGCAGGTGTCTTTAACTGCTCCTTCTGCATCTTGAGTGCAGTATTTACTTAAGTTATAAGAGGACCACTGAATAGGAACAGGCATATAAAATACACAAGCTTACTATCAATGAGCAATTTCCACTTAATTCAATTTCTCTACTGAAAATATTTACAAGAAAAATTTAAGCAGCAGAGCAGCTTTTATTTGTGTTGAATGAATGGGAATTATTAATCAACCGATTTTTACTTACTAATCCTTTTATAATCAAAACTGTGCCAAAGTTGGAAAACTACTTCACTCTGGTGTTTTGCATGCTCTAAAGCAGTGCTGTTAAGTCTTCTGGCATCTGTATTGTTCTTTTTTCTCAGAGAAATGCCTGTAACCACTTCTAGATTAAAGGTGAAGTTCACAACAGAAAAAAAAAGGATTATTCACACTATGTCCTTGGTTTATGATAGCAGACGTCTCTTTAAAAAAAAATTGTTACAAAATGCAAAGCTGCGTGAAACTGCTGCACAACAAGAAGCCTCCTTAGCTCCTGCAACTAATAAGCAGATGTCTTCTTTAACACATTAATATGAAAGACATTGTCAGAAACATGGGGAAATAATATTCCTCTCCAGCTGTTTAAGGCAATGTTGAATTAAAAACAATATGTTGTGAAATCTCACTTTGCTTGCTGTGAGCTTTGGGTTTCAGCACCACTTTTTATGATGGGGAAAGGAAAGCTCACATTGCAAAAAAAAAAGCTCTTTGCTCTCACACAGCAGGAGCTTTGTGTGTTGGCAGCAACACAGCAAAGGCTGCATTATACCAAAGTACAAGTGAGTAAAACGGCAGTGCACTTTATTCAGACAGAGTAAAACATGCAGTTTTGTGGAGCATTTTGCCGGTTATATTTACTCAAATTATAACCCAAATAAATATATATATATATATATATATATATATATATATATATATATATATATATATATATATATATATATATATATATATTGACAACGAATAAGGATCCAGGATTGGTGGAAATACAAAGCAAACAAACATTAACATAGACCCAAATAAGGGAATATGCATTCCTTTCACATAGCTCTTTGATTTAATTTAGAAATTCAGGCTCGAAAAGAGCTGACAGAGGGTGCAAGCCTAACAAGAAGTTAGTGAAGTTTTGCACTAAGTGATGTGGGTAAACAGAGCACCTCTTCGATATACAGGCTTTGTCCTTGATTGCTATCAACTGCTGTTGCAACTGAAGAGAGATTAAAGTTTCACTTTGGAGCTGTCAGGGTAAGTGGAGCAGCAAATAGCAGAGCTTCTTGAATAGAAAACCAATTTCTGCATAATAATATGACAAAGAAGATACTCAGGGCTACAAAAATGTACAATAGTTGAACACAGTAAGGCTATCTGGCAATGATTTAGAATTCTACATGAATAAATAAGGACCTATTTCTCATATTATGAAAATATTTCACAACTCCTAATATTTTCATGGATTTTCAGCAAAACGTGTTATGAAGTATCATTTTTTTCTATAACACCAGTTCCCCTAAAAGGCAGATCAATGTTTTAAGATCTGGACTCAAAACTCTTAGATAATGAAAAAAATGTAATCATGAGATAACAACCAACTACTAATCCTTATAGGGGAAATTTATTAGTTTAGCCAGTAGGACGAATTAAAGTTACGCCTCTAGTAATGTCATTTAATTGAAG